TTGCGTACCTTCTTCCTCCCGGACTAAGATTCCACTTACCGCCACCTCAAAAACCGCTAAATAGAGGTACATTTGTTCATCTGTCTTCGGAGTGTGCAGTAGGGGCGAACTCGAAAGGTACCGTTTGAGTTCTTCCAAAGCTTGCTGGCATTCTGGGGTCCAGGAAAAGTTGTTCTTCTTCTTTAACAGTGAGAAGAAATGATGGCTTTTGTCTGAGGACCTCGAGATGAACCGACATAGGGCGGTTATACGCCCGGTCAGTCTTTGAACGGCCTTGACATTGTCCACCATAGTGAAGTCCTCTATGGCTTTGATTTTTTCGGGGTTGATCTCGATCCCTCGATTGGATACCATGAACCTGAGGAATTTTCCTGATCCGACCTTGAATGCACATTTCTCCGGGTTCAGTTTCATATTATATTTCTTCAGTATGTTGAAGGTCTCCTCCAAATGTTTAAAATGGTCCTCTTCTCTCAGGGACTTGACTAGCATATCGTCAATATAAACTTCCATTGATTTTCCTCTTTGTTCTTTAAACATCTGGTTTACTAGGCATTGATAGGTGGCACCAGCGTTCTTTAATCCGAACGGCATTACATTATAACAGTAGGTGCCAAGTTTAGTGACAAAAGAAGTCTTTTCTTGATTATTCGGGTCCATCAGAATTTGGTTATACCCGGAATAGGCATCGAGAAAGCTGAGTATCTCATGCTCGGTCGTCACATCGATCATCCGATTGATGTTAGGTTAAGGGAAAGAATCCTTGGGGGATGCCTCATTTAGATCTTTGTAATCTACACACATTCTTAACTTATTCCCTTTTTTAGGCACTACCACTACGTTAGCTAGCCAGTCCGTTTATTTAAATTCCCGAATGGACTCTATTTTAAAGAGTTTGGATACCTCGTCCTTGATGAACGCATGCTTGACGTCAGACTACGGTCTCCTCTTCTGCTTAACCGGATGGAACTTCGGGTCTAAACTCAACTTATGAGTGGTTACCTCCGGTGCGATCCCTGTCATGTCAAGATGAGACCAAGTGAAACAATCTATGTTAGCTTTAAGAAAATTAATGAGTTTTTTCCTGAGCTAGGGGGGTTAATCTCGTGCCCAGTTATACCTTTTGATTCGATAGGTGTTCGATTAATATGACTTGCTCTAACTCTTCGACCGTCGATTTAGTGGCGTCGGTGTCATCAGGAGCTATGAACGATCCCTGAACTCCGTAATCATCATCCTCGTCTATTCATCATTCCTCTGGTTCGACCGAGACCGGCATCAGTGATTGCTATTTAATCTCTTTCTTTCTGGTTGGCTCTGCATTCCTTGATGTTGAAACTGCGGGCACCGGGATTACCTCATCGACTGTGAACATCTCATTTGCAACCGGCTGCTCTCTGTAGACCGTCTTGACTCCTTCCAGCGTAGGGAAGTTGAACACCTAGAGCAAGGTCGAGGGTATCGACCTCTTGTTGTGTACCCACGGCCTTTCGAATAAGGCGTTGTACCTCATGTCCCCTTCGATCACGTTGAACCTTGTCTCTTGGATCGTCCTGGCGGTGTTCACCGACAGGGTTATCTCCCCTTTAGTGGTTTTGCATGACATGTTAAATTCGTTTAACACCCGTACTGCCAGCACTATTTGGTCTTGTAACCCCAATTGCTCTACGACCCTCGATCGGATGATATTGGCCGAGCTACCTAGATCAATCAACATACGTTTAACTCGAGACTAATTGATAAGTACGGATATTACCAGCGCATCATTGTGAGGATGTACAATTCCCTTGGCATACTCGTCACTGAACGAAATGGGTTCCCTACGGGACATAATCTCGGGTGCATTTTTCCCTTGTGATAGATACTTTAGTGCGCTTTATCATTGACTCTTGGGGGATATTGACCCCTTCAATGATCATGTTGATGACGTGCTGAGGCTCCTCTTGTTCGGAATGTATATTGGCGTCCCTGTTCCTGAAGTGGTTTTTTGCTCGATCACTCAAAAATTCTCGAAGGTGTCCGTTATTGAACAACCAGTAACTTCTTCTCTCAATTGTCGGCAATCCCCGGTCCTCTGGCCATGAATGTCGTGATACTTACACATCAAGTTAGGATCTCTTTGGGTAGGGTCGGACTACAATGGTCGGGACCACTTGGTCTCCTTGATACGCCTGATGGCTGATACGATGTTGGTAGCATCAACATTGAAGTTATACTCTGATAATCTCGGTGCTTCCCTACCCCCGAGTGGCCTGTCAAAACCATTTTGCTCATCAGAGCTTGGCTACTAAGCCCTCGATCACCTCTCTTTTCGTTCCTTGTGGGGTGACGCCCGGACCCATTTCCCCTTCGATCCGCGCTGTATGGTTGGTATCGATCCCGGACCGGTCTTGGCTCATGATCGGTGACTCTCTTAGACCTATCGTCGGCCCTGATGGGATAAATAGACCCAGAAGGGGCTCCGAGTTAGTCGTTCTCGACCTTGATCTTTGACTGGTACCTGTTGTGGATGTCGGCCCAAGTTACCACAAGGTACTCTACCAAAAAAAAAATTAGCTGCTGTGAAGCCAAGGGGCTTCAAAGGTTAAGCCCTTGAGTAAATTCCTAAACGGCCCAATCATCTACAGTCGGAGGCAGGTCCATCCGTTCCATTTGGATACTCGACGTGTAACTCCCTGAGCATCTCGTTGTCTCTTTGTTTAACCTTAAAAAGGTTCGACTTTCTGGTCTCGACCTTGGTGTCCCTGGCATGGGCCTTTACGAAAGCATCTGCAAGCAAACGAGTCAATAGAATTTTGGGTTAAGTTGTCATACCATATCATTGCTCCTTTAAACAAAGTCTCCCCAAACTTCTTCAGTAACACCAACTCGATTTCATTATCTTCCAAGTCGTTCCCTTTGATTGCGCATGTATAGGAGGACATATGCTCATTCGGATCCGTGGTTCCGTTATATTTTGGGATATCAGGCATACAAAACCTCTTTGGGATCAGCTTCGGTGTTGCGCTCGGAGGAAAAGGCTTCTAGATAAACTTCTTAGAATCCGGCCCTTTCAATATCAGGGGTGCTCCCGGGATTTGATCGACCCTGAATTGTATGTTTTCACCTTCTTGTCATTGGTCTCAATTTTCTTTTCACATGACTCCACCCGCTTCGTTAATGCTTCAAGCATTTTCATTATTTGGAAATTGACCCCGGGCTCAGCTTCACCCGGTCTCTCGGTGATCCGTTCATTTCTTCGGATGTTTTCCTGGGATTGTTCGGGCTCAACCCTGCTAGGGGCGTGGCTTTAATTTTGTAGTTGCGATATCGCCACCTGTTCAGTGAGCCTGCAACATTTCGAAGATTAACCGTAAGCGTAACCTATCGCCTTTGGGCGCTTCTCGAGCTCCTAGTCGGGATCCTCCGCAAACGTTATTTTCGGGATCAGTTGGCAGATTGACGTCGATGGCCACCTGTGAGTTAGAATCGATTGGATCCACAACTGCGACTCCATTGGGATCAGCATGAGGCACCTCGTTGCTAGGTACCAGATTATTGTTTTCGCCATGATGGCCAGACTCAGCGTCAACGTTCAAGTGGGCAGACTGAGAATTTGATATTTTTAAACTGGCCTAAAATTAAGACTTTAAAGAACAAGCGTAAAATAAAGTGTGTTATGGAGATTTATATCAAATAACCACTATTATCCTTATCCTCGTGGTGGGACCCAAACTATTTATCCTTAAAATATATAACAATTTAATTTGTATGCGATTTTAAGGATATTTGGATTGATTCAACACAAATAATCAAGAATATTAGAATAATGAGTTAAAGACAAAATGAATAATCAAACCAATTGTAATGTTACGGCCCAGCCTGAACCTAGGTTGAACATTAGTTTCGCCCTCGATCGAACCCTTAGTTCGAACCCAAATCAGATGAAGAACAAACAGTTATGTAAGAACTTTCGCAATAGCTAGAAAGCAAAAAATGAATTTGTATTGCCTTGGCTTGCGTGTTACAATGTGTCTCTCAAAAGAAAAAAACCTCCCATTTATATAGTAGGAGAGTTCTATCACTAGTACAAGTCTAAAATGGGTAAAAAATCTTCATTTCTCGTTAATTACTGATCCGTAACCGACATCGAGCGAGATCCGCGCCGTGATATCCGGTCAGGTACTAATATCACGGCTCTTTATCCATCGTGTGTAATCACTTACCGTGTTCCCCAAGGTTTTAGAACTCGTTCTGGGTTCGGGGAGCGTCGCTTTATCACGCCCGGTGACGAACACACATCGTCCTTCTTACGTAGGTCTCGATTCGAAAGGTTCCCGGCATCGACTTCGGTCTCGAGCGTCCATGCCCTTCTTCCGTTTTTTACCGAAAAACAGGGGTATGCTCTATCCCCATTTTACCCGTATCAACGCTTATTGAGGATTCTAGATGAGGAGAAACTATTTAAATATAATTAGAGCTCGCCGTGGCGTGCATCGGGTTTGAAATAAACTAAGCTTTGACAAAAACTAATTAAAGTGGAATATGCCAAACTATCCAAAATTTTCAAATCTAGTAGTAATATTTATGTGCAAAAAGTTTTCATTATTTGTAAGCAGTCAAGTATCGTCGTTGGTAATTATTTCCAAGAGATTTTAAATTAAAACGTTTTAAAATTTGTAGATTATCTCTGCTTGTACGCGAGTAATGATGGATTGTGCAACACTATATATGAGTAGTCTTAACTCTGTTTTACAGTAGTAATTACTCAGTTATTAACAGTTTGCTACAGAAGGATAATAATCTGGATAGGAGGATATGACTTGGAGATACTCAAAAATCTACTAAACACTTCTCATTGGTTGATGCAGAAACTTAAAAGTATATCCGACCACAATTTTCTGTCCCTGCAACCTTAGCCACCCACGTAATATTGTCACTTTCTAAACACAAGAAGTAGTATCCTTTGGGATGGGACCCTCCATATTTTTCCAGCACTTGTATATATACATTGTGCAAGAAACTTAGTCAAATGTGAGGTCCAAGAGAGAGAAATCAAGAAAGGGAGAGAAAGAGAATGGCATCAATGGCATCAATGGCAGCAACCGGTAGCTCAGCCACTGTTGTTAGAGCAACTCCATTCTTGGGCCAGACCAAATATGCCAACCCTCTTAGAGATGTAGTTCCCATGGGCTCTGCCAAATTCACCATGGTAAATTTTTCATCTCGTTCTTTATGTATCGCGTAAGAAAATACTTAATTGATCAGTTGAACAACTATATTGCATCCGCTTATGCTAAGATGTGTTGTCTTGTCATTTTCTTCTATGTTGTTAGAGTAATGAATTGTGGTATGGACCTGATTGTGTCAAGTACTTGGGACCCTTTTCTGCTCAAACTCCTTCCTACTTGACTGGAGAATTCCCCGGTGATTACGGATGGGACACAGCTAGTTTATTAGCTGATCCTGAAGCCTTTGCAAAGAATAGAGCTCTTGAGGTACTTTCTTTTTCTTTTACTAGTAAGTTTCAAGTCCGTATAAAAGAGAAAAGTTATCGAACAATTATGGAAAAAAGGATAATTGATCTTCTAAATGTTACATAAGATTTGTATAACTGAGGACGACTAATTTAGGATTGAGACGTAGTTAATAGATTGATGCTGATTAAAATTGTAACAATTCCAGGTCATCCATGGGCGATGGGCCATGCTTGGGGCACTGGGTTGCATTACTCCAGAAGTTCTTGAGAAATGGGTGAAAGTGGATTTCAAAGAACCAGTATGGTTCAAAGCTGGAGCCCAAATCTTCAGTGAAGGAGGACTGGACTATTTGGGCAACCCAAACCTTGTCCATGCTCAGAGCATTCTAGCAGTTTTGGGCTTCCAAGTAGTGCTAATGGGCCTTGTAGAAGGTTTCAGAATTAATGGGCTTCCTGGAGTTGGTGATGGCAACAATCTTTACCCAGGTGGCCAGTACTTTGACCCACTTGATCTAGCAGATGACCCAACTACTTTTGCCGAGCTCAAGGTTAAGGAGATCAAGAATGGAAGATTGGCTATGTTTTCCATGTTCGGATTCTTCGTTCAAGCTATTGTCACTGGCAAAGGCCCTCTTGAGAACCTTTTGGATCACCTTGACAACCCTGTTGCTAACAATGCATGGCTTTATGCAACTAAGTTTGTTCCTGGCTCTTAAATTTTACATTTTGACTTCCTCCACAAGAGGCTTGTACCACTGATTCATTCAGAATGCAAATATTGGGCAGATGAAAACTATTTTACCATGTGATAAATACTCTTTAAGCCACTAGAATTTCATTTAACTCTTGTGATAATGACTACACCTCAATCCCAAGCAACGTAAAATTAACGTAAAAATAGCACAGGCTAGTCAGTTTTCGGACTGGTCATTCATAAATAACCAGTGTTTGCCAAGTTATTGAAAAATAGCCACTATTTTACTGCAACAGAAACCGGTCCAGCATAATATACTGGGGTTCGGTACACCTGTGTATGAACTTCCAGCATATTATGCTGGAACTCCAACACGCGAAAAGTTCCAGGAGATTCGAGCACCTGTGTATGAACTTCCAGCATATTATACAGGACCGGTATACTTTGCTTGAACTCCATTATAATATTATATTATGCTGGAGTTCTAGTATACTTATGCTGAAACTCCATTATATTATGCTAGAATTCCAATATACTTATGCTGGAGCTTCCAGTATAATATACTGGAGTATTTTCCGGATTTTGAACAGTGTTTTCTTTCAGATTTATCTTTACATGAAAAGTGGCTAAATTTCGATTACTTTGAAAGTGTGGCTATTTTTGAATGACCACTTGTAAATCTGACTATTTTTTAATTTCTCCCAAAATTAACTGTATGAATCTTCACCAATCATGTCAATACAATATAATATAAATTATTAAGTAAAAGCACAACGCAATCTCTATATTTTCTACTAGCATATAAATTTCTGACATAGATTAAAAACTCCTAAAAATACTGAACCTAAAGCAATTCGTGTTAACATGACCAAAACTAAGGGGCTTGTTACACGAATAGTCTATACGTAATAAAGTAGGTCAACAATGGCGAAAAGAGTTGAAGGGAGAAACAAGAAGAAGAATGCATATGCTATCTTTCTGTATGGACTTTGAGCTCCTTCAGCTCACAAGAAACAGGATATGAGATGAGAATAACAAACGCTCTCTATTACGTTTGGCAACTCATTATGGAGTTGTAAACAATCAAGTAATCACATCACCATCTTTCAGTAACAACTAATTACAACATTTGCTAAATGCAAAAGCATGTGGACTGAGAAAACTCTAGTCCTATTCTGGCAAAGCTATCTAATGTGTAATTCCACAACCTAGCATTGTTTACAGCAGGCTATTTACAAACAAGCTCTTAACTATCTAGGGGAGGGATCAGGGGATCCATAACCGAGCGCACACACTATTTCCCAATCTCCACCAACGCTGCTATATTACCAACCACAAGTTGGGAGAATTAGTTTCACCTATATATTTTAATACCTAAGGAAGAAAACGACTGATCTTAACCTAAAATCACTTGCTCTTCTTACCCCACCATTTTCTACGATTCTTCCCTGCTTTAGAACAACCAAGTTTGTGTACTTTTGTCTTTGTCTCCTTTAACCGGACCTTGTAATCTTTTTTCCATTCCTCAAACCTGCACTTCAGTCTTCGGTACTCATCTGCAGGATTAGTAGAATGTAACTGCCCTGGTTTCAAGTGAACAATTGCCAAGGCTTCATCGTCAAAATTCTGCTTTCGCTGCTCAAATTCCAGTGTGAGGTGGCTGACTATGGCTAAACCACCATTAACCTCTCTATTAGCTCCAACACCTAAGCTGTTGTTAGTAAATTTAACTGGAGTGCATCCCGCAGGAGTGTCCATAGATGTTGCGTCATCAGAATCATAATAGCGAGGAGATGGGGAACCTTCAGGCTTTCCAGGTCGACCAGTAGTATCACCAGCACCAAGACTGTTCTTGGCAGCAGCCAGACTAGCCTGCTTTGGCAAAACAATTGATGTATCACCAAATTAGAAATTTCATCATTCAATGTTACAGTTACCTTAGTATAAACTCAATTTCCAATAGAAATATAAAATACCATCAGCCAATCAAAGAAAATTCTGTTTTCATTTACTATCATCAGGCTTCAATTTTGTTTTCAGCCAATGAAAGGGACATGGTGATCAGCCAAGCAATAAAAATATTGTTTCAAAACAAAAGAAGATCTGCTGATGCGAATGATGAAAGGGACAAAGTAGACCAGCCAATGAAGGAAAATTTTTGTTTTCATTTACCATCATCAGGCTTCAATCTTCTTATTAAAAGAAATGGTAAGGATGCTATCTTTATACCCGATATCTCTCCAGACACGAGACACGGTAAAGAAAAAGGATGTTGCCTATCTCAGGAAAAATTATCATTTCTCAAACTAATTCTCAATTGGACCAGAGAAGTGAGAAGAAGCAGTAGCAATATCAGTAGAGCTCCATAGAACAACGGATACCAAGTACTCCCTCCGTCCCAATTTAGGTGACAATGTTCAGATTTCGAGAGTCAGATAATTATTCTTTAACTATAATTTTTCATAAGCCTTTTAAATATTTTAAAATTTTAATTATTGCGATTTATATTACTTTTTACGTAGTTTCCATATATGTAAATTTATTTCGAAAAAAAAGTTTGAATCTTGACAAAATGAAAAGTATCACATAAATTGGGACGGATTAACTATCTAGGATCATATTGCAGCTTACTCACCTGCAATGATGCCGTTTGCTTTTGCCACATCTCTTCCATTGACCTCATCTTGACCTCATATTCTAGGCATCGGGCCTCGAATAGGTTTACTTGTTCCTTCAGGGCAACATTTTCCATTTCCTTCTCTCCAAGGGTTGCCTCAGCCTTTAAAACCCGCCTTTCGAGGTCTTCTACAGCAGAAGGTAAAATTTCTCGAGGCAACTCCTGCTTGCATAAAAAATTCAAACTTACTACAGCATCAATCAGGTTCTCAAGCAGTCAAAAAAAAATATTAAAGACTACAGTGTTGCCTCCACTGTTTGCATTTAGGCTAATATCAGACTTCAAGACTGAGAAGCCATAGTGCAATAAGAATTAAGAAAAAAGGAAAGCAAGAAAATGAAGCCATTATCCTGATTGATCAGTCAGTAACTCTTCGCAAGCTGTTCTTTTTTTCTTTTTTTTTTGCTTCTACAAGGGGAGTGGGGAAGGACTAATGTATAAACCAAAAAAGGCCTCCCTACCCAGTTTTCCCTCACTGTCTTTTTCTTTCAATCTTAATAATGAAATACTCGGCATTTTCGAGATGCCAATGCATTTCATCTTCCAAAGTAAGAATAAAACAAGGAAAAAGACTCCCCCGAACCCTGAAATCAGAAATGCAATTGCATACCCAAAATTGGATTCCAAAAAAAATGAAAAAAAAAAAAAGGAATACCTAAAGTTGGCTTCATCAAACAGGCCACCAAATTCTTAAAGATATTAGTCCCGAAGCAGATTTTACAATTCTGAACGAAGAAAGAAGAAAAGTTCAATAAAAATGTATGGAAAAGCTTTTATAGAAAACCAATTATTCTGTTATATGTTCAATTAAGAGAACAAAAACTGAGGCAAAGTGACCTAGTAAGGATATCTTTGAATCCTTATGATAGAGTACCTTGACCTCCATTTTTCTGCCTGTTTTTGGGATGTCTACATTTAACGTTTTTGCACTCTGCAGTTTATTAAGATCCTTTCGAGCCAACCATCCACGAATAGCTGCAATAAAAAAGACGTGTAAATCTATTTGATTTCATAATCACAGAGATACCAATACAAATAACTTTACCTGATTGTATCTGCACAACAGCCACCAGCTGCTCATCATTTTTGTGAGCCACCTTCACCTTAGATCCCACCGAAGTATTATACCGGTTTCTTGCTATTTCACCCCGAATAACTACAAGAACGAATTTTGAGTCAGAATATCAGGTAAAATTCAGCATTATTGGAAGTCTTAAAATTTTACTATATTGATGCATCAGCTCAGAATTGAACTGGTTTATATCACTAGCTACTTTGGAACTTTCAGCATTGCTTCAAATAGCAGGAAATTATATATTTATTCTTTTTCTAAAATCATCGGAATGGCAGCCCTGGAACACTTTGAAGATATCTAATGTGGTCTTCAAATGGACAAATACTCATAAAAAACTGATAGACACAACATTGTTCATGAATATCATCTTCTATTGTATTCAAAAGAAAAAGGAAAAAAGAGTTGCAAAGGGATCCGCTTTACATGATTGAAGTGTGATTACTCCTCCTTTCAGCTCATGGAAGTAACGACGAGCACGATGACCACGAAAGCACTTCTGCACCTCAAGAGTACCTTGCAGAACTTGGTTTCTCACATCCTCCAATGCAGCAATCTACATGTTAGAGAGACAGAAGTTCAAAGATAGGCACACAAAAGGAAATCCAATCTTCAATAGTATAAACCCATTGCCTCATTAGAAGACTGTATAGGTCATACATATCAGAGGAAATATGTTAGCCATAAACCATATTTTCCTTCATTTCTGATTGTTGTCCTTTCCAATATGCATGGGACTACTCACAAGCCTTCTTCAAAAGGACATAACACATTTTGGCCTCAATGTGATGTCACCAGTTTGGAAGACACAACACATTTTTTTTTTAAAAAGGATGGTGTCCCGGCCAGCTTGCGCTCATATCAACGCACCACACTTTTATTTGTCATAATTTGCTTCAACTATATAGTAGTAAAAATTAGAAAAGACTTAAACTTTCTGGTGTGTCTTTTTGATGATTAGGGCAATGACATTATTGTTTGAAAAGAAAACCTATCTTCATGTCAGAAAACGAGGAACTATGAGCTCACCTGTCCTGCTCGGAAATATAACTTTGTATATCCAACTTGGTACAGTTCCGGAAGAATATCAAACTGCTGAAGAATGGCAACTGACATACTTAGAGGATCTTGACATGCATTATCCTTCACCAGAAGGAAGCCGTACCTAAAATACCGCATTCATATAAGTCGAAAAGCAACCAAAAAACAAGTCAGCGACAAACTAAGGATCAAGTATGTCACCTGCTTGTGAATTCTTGATGTGTTAACCTAGTAGGATAGCCAGATCTTGATATTCTAACCACCTCAAGAACACCACAGGATCTGAGCTGTTGTATGACAAGATCTTTGTCACACATGCCAGGAACCTG